AAGCTCAGTCAGTTGAACAGTAATTATCTAGAGGTGAAGAGATGAACGGCGTGAGGAAGAGAAGGAGAAGAATATCAGAATGGGTATCCATGCGGCAGAGGATCAGATCAGGCATTTCAGCTCCCAGTAGGCCTTTCTGCCCCTCTAGGGCCAGACTGGTTTGGAAACATCAAAGCATCTGTAAGCAGCCCAGTGCATGCTGGTCGATATCCAAACCAGCGCAGCTCTTTGCCGTATATCTCTCTCACATCCTCTTCCTCTCTCTTCTCATCTTCCCTTAACCTTCCTTTTTAACACAGTCACTCTTATTTCCAGTTTTCTTTTTACATTATTGCTCATTTCTTTTTTCTCATTTTTATGTAATTTATCTTTTCTTATTTTTCTTGTTTTTTTACCCTAATGTGTTGGAATGAATTCTATATTTTAATTTCATTTTCTTCTTGTTTTCTTTGCCCCTCCGTAAATTATTTTCATGTCCTTTCCTCCTCTCCCTTCACTTCCACTCTCATGCTTCTTCATTCTTCATCTTCTGATTTTCACTTTTCAATGTTTCAATTGTCTATTTAGCCTTCATCAAAAGTGTCGTAGAGACACAACCATAAAAGACATGAGCGTTTGAAAACGTGTTTAATTTTATGCAATAAGCTGTTTCCGTACGATATTGACATGATTTAATCCAACTATTAAAAGGTGAATTAAAATGTGATAAACATGTTGCACCACATTAAAACAACACTCACTACATGAAATACATACTGTATGTTGTTTCCTTATTGATAAGATTTTTTATGGCTGTCAAGAAAGAATACATGTTTGAACTCATAATACAATATTCTCCTTTAGTTTGCCTGTGTATTATTTTACAAGATTTGGATGTTTTCATAGAATTTCATCGAGATTAGAAAAGTCTCTTGGGCTTGAAGTTCTGTAGCGCCAGCGAGAAACAGCCTGATTTCATTGTTAAAAGGACGGTGCTGTGTATATTCCAAGCACATAGTGTTGTTTTATATCACAGTCAAGTAATTATATTACCTTAAGTGGTGGTTAAAATGTTGCATATATCAAACATGATTTAAAGGAAATTGACTTTGCAATTTGATGCTTTGAAACTGACCTTTGTCTCTTTAAGGAGTTTAACACTCCACCTTCAGCCCATCATCACAACAATGCTCCTCCATGATGGTGTTTACAACCATTCTTAGAGTGCTGGATTGAAAAGTAGTTCACAAGATGAACCCAGCAGACACACATTTCTACCAGGTGTTTGCTAATTGCTGCTGCCACTAGACTGGAGGAGCTGAATGTGGGAGGTCTGGGGGTGGGGTGATCTGTGCACCCCACCCTCACACCTCTAAAGAGGAGCTTTGTAGAAATAGGCGGGGCTTGTTGATAGCAAGTACTTAGGCACCCTGAATGGTTGCCATGGGAGATTTAAGGATTCCACAAACATGTATGAAAAAATCTAAGCATCATTCCAGACAGGATTTTGATGAAAGTATAACATAATGTAAAGCTAAAAAAGTCTTTCACATAATACTGCACCTTTACATGAGCATAATTACCAGCATAGTTTCACTATTAGCCAATGATTAGCCATCTTGGCAGTATGGAGTTGACTTCTTGGACCAAGAAAACCTTCCTGGTCTGAAATTTAGTTTCAGACCATCTTACATTGTCTTAGATTTTGAATCAAGCACATTAAAAATGTGCAAGGTCAACAATTAGTCTGTAAGCAGTGCAGAAGTTTCAGAAATCATTCACCGAAACCAGATGATACTAATCATCTTCATTTGATTAGTATTTTAAACGGAACATTAACCTATATTTATATAATTTGTAGTGAGTAAAATGGAGAGAAATATGTTAATCATAGGCTCTGTCCAATGTTGGCTGATAGTGAGACACTTCTCTATCACAGTGTTCACAAAGCTGCAGGAGAAGCTGCTGCTAATTTTATGTTTTTATCCATATACGGCATAAATAAATTAGTTGTGACAACTAATTTATTCAGAAATAAAATTAACTGAAAGTCAAAGCAGAAAATAATTTTCATTTTCATACACATTCAACTAAGGAGTAGATTAAGACAAAATTCAAACTCCTTCTTCCTGGAGTTTAAGTCATCTACCAGGAAATCTTTGTTCTTCTTTACATTTAGATTGAAATCTCAAATGTTGAAATTAAAAATGTCCCTCGAGATGCAGATGATTATTTCTGTCAGCTGTGATGGTTTTGCAAAAGTTTAAAATTATTTACTTTCATGTTTTAGACTACCATCGTTATCTTCTTGAATTTTCTCAGTACAAAGAATCATCATCATCAATATAAACTTAAAACATAGTCTCTAAACATGAAAAATGAAACTGGGTACAAAACCTTTTTGGGTAATTAAATTGTTTCTTGTTTCCCGTAACAGTTCTAAAGACTATACAATGAATTAGCTTCTGAGTGCAGGAGTAGTGCCAGTAGAAAGCAATGTTTCATAGGACACCTTCAAAGATTAAAGAAGAAATAAAGTACAGAACATCAGTGTAGTCAAAAATTGACATCTTTGCAATCATATTCTCCAGATGTCTGATTTCTTTCACCACATACCTGAACAGCTCATTAGCTTCCCTTTTGGTGACAGCTTCAGTCATGCTAAATGCTAAAGGTTAAATATTTCTGTTTGGAGCTGAAATGCAGTCGTCCTTCATCTCCTAAAAAGACCTTCTCATCAACATTAGGACATTTTACTCAAGTTCAAAGCAACAAAGAAGATGTTTTTGTTGCTGGCAGATGCTCATTATCACTCAGAAACAAGAACTTTTTCACAGTTTGACTGTGGTGGTTTGTTCATTTTGTCATGCTGGTTGTTTTTGCTCATTAGAATAAAAAAAAAAACCTGTGAACAACAAGGAGATACTTTATAACATACTTTTCCTACAAAGACTTGCAGACTGAAAGTTTTCTTTTTTTTAAATCCTTTAACTTTTCTGTGTTTTCAAAAAAGAAACTAACTTCAAACACCCTGTAATAGTAAATGAATCCTTTATTCCAATTTTAGTGTTTTTCTCCCCTTTCACCTCTTCAAGGATGAAGACATAAACACACATTTCTTCTTCCTTTAAGCCATATTCTCTACCCCTCTTTATGACTGAGTTGCTTCAATGGGAGAAATCAATATTGTATCAGTGTCTATTCTTCTGATCCCCAACTGAATCTTGAATCTTCCAGCAGTAATAAAAAAATGATAATCTAAAGTAGTGACTTTTCCATGTGTAAACCCTGAATTTTGCCTTTAGTTATTTGTTTCGGTGGTAAGTTATGGCTCAAGTCCTTCATGAGTGCTCTTTGTGGCCAGCAGATGGCACTAACACTCCACTAAGCAACAAGCCCCTTCTCTTCCTCTCCTCAATCAGTTTTCACATCTTCACGTTGTGTTTTTTCTGTGTTCTCCTGTGAAGGGCAACCTGCCATACTTGTTCTAACTCTCTGTATCTTTGTATGTCTCTTTTATCTCTATCTACATTTTTCTTATTTTTTTCCAGTATTATCTCAATTTTAATCTCTTTTTTTCTCTTCTTTTTTCTTTTCTTTTATTTTCTTCTCTTCCCTTTCTTCTCTTGTCACCTCTATTAGGTATTTTTCTTTCTTGGTTTCATATTTCATATTCTTTATTCCTCTTCATTACTATTTCATTAGCTCTAGATGATTCTGTCAGGGTCTTCTTGAACACAGTCATCAGGGATGGGAGCAAACTGCTGCTCAGCTGCCTGCATGAATTAGGTGTGTGTTGGGTTTGGGGAAGGAAGATGACTGATAATAATATAATAAAAAAGAAGATACTAATGCTATCTTCCTAAAATAATGGTCTGTCTTTTTTTTTTTTTTTTTTTTTGCCAAAGTGATTTATTTCATTTATTTATTTATTGGAAAAAATAACTTTTGATAAAAAGAAAATAAATAAAATAAAAAAATACTTAAGCTACTATAGAAATATGTCAATGTGCAACTACTTGCATAGTTTTTTCCCCTGGTTTATGAGTCATATCAACCAATCTAAAAGCAACACTCACCCTTACCAGCGGGTGGCTTCTGGTCTGGGCAACTGCCCGGTGTGACAGCCAATGGCCCCATTGGAATGATGTGTGTGTTGAGAGGTACTTACTGTCTTGGCCAAAGGCACTTCAACATGTGGCAGATGAGGGAATCTGGAGCTCAACCTGTGATCTTTGCTTGTAAGTCCAACACTTTTCAAACTCGTCCATCACATGTTTTGTATTACACTGAACATGGACCACAGGAAGCAGAGAAGAGACACCAGAGAGTTGTCCCAGGAGGTCAGAATGAGAATTACAGAACAGCATGTTAAATGTTACGCAATAAATTTGTGTCACAAATTTATTGTATTATTCACAACTTTAAGGTCCTCTAGCACATCCCTGGTGGCAAATTAAAGAGAAGGAAAACGTGAAAGGTAATTTTTTTGGAGAACAACCTCCAAAAAAATTGAAGGTCAACTCCAAAGTCAAGGTAAATCAGTGTCAGATCCCACCATTAATCATTGTTTGAACCAAAGTGGACTTCAGGGGAGATGACTGAGAAGGAAAGCAAAGTGTAAAAATGTTAGACTGTAATTTTCCACGGTACATACTGACATGTCACAACGCTTCTGGGAGAATGTTGTTTGGTGATGCCTTGCTAAAACTGGAGCGTTTTAGCAAGGCATCAGCTCAATGCTCACAGACACAAAAACAAAGCTGATCAAGAGAAGTGCTGTGCTTTAACAATTCTAATGAACCACATTTAAAAAGCAATATTTCATCTTGATTGATTTTTTTTAGAATACATTTGTTCATTATTACCTTTATTTTTGGTATAAGTTCTTGCAGTGACCATTGTGGAATTTTAGTGCAGTATCAGAAGGGAACAATTTGGTTCCCATGTGTGTTACTACTAGTTTTGTAGGATGTATCAGATTAAATTCTTTCATTAATAATCTGTGTCTCTGTCTCCAGTGTTTTGTGCAAAAGTTGGACGGGTTCATCTCATGGCTACAGGAGGCACTGGACAGCACTGAAAACTGGACACAGCCCAGGCAGGACTTGGACAGCCTTAGGGTTTACTTGGACACTCACCTGGTAAGCAAACATGCTTTCTCATAAGTGAACATGCCACAATAGGATAATAATTTATTTAACTTATTTCTTACTTTAAGTAATGATATTGAGCAAATCTCCCTGTCTTCTAGAATCCCTATCATGTCAAAACACCCTCCACACTTAAATACAAAGGTAACTGATCATAGGAACAGCTGTTCATGCATATTGTGCACAGATTTATCCACACTACATACATGAATTTATATGCTCTGCATCTTGATGTGACAAATCCAAGCTTTCGCTCTGGCTGGCAGGAGAGGCCTTTCCTCTAGCACTGTGTTGAAATGTACCAGATAACTGATTGTTAAAAATACACTATATTGCCAAAAGTATTCACTCACCTGCCTTGACTCACATGTGAGTTTAAGTGACATCTAATTCCTAATCAATATGGCTCAACATGACTCTGGTCCACCCTTTGCAGCTAGAACAGCTTCATCTCTTCTGGGAAGGCTGTCCACAAGGTTTAGTAGTGTGTTTGTGTAAAGACCAGTCAAGTTCATCCACCCCAGACTCTGGCATCCATGTCTTTATGAACCTTACTTTGTGCACTGTTGCACAGTCATGTTGGAGAGGAAGGGTCTAGCTCCAAACTGTTCCCACAAAGATGGAAACATAGAATTGTCCAAAATGTCTTGGTATGCTGAAGCATTTAGAGCTCCTTTCTCTGGAACAAGGAGCTCAGTTCAGCTCCTGACAAACAACCATACACCATGATCCCTCCTCCACTAAACTTTATGCTCGGCACAGTTAGTAAAGTACCTTTCTCCTAGCAATCACCAAAACCAGACTCATCCATCAGATTGCCAGAGGGAGAAGCGCGATTTATCAGGGAACTCACCTCCACTGCTCTCATAAAAAGCTGTCATTTGTGTGTGTTTCAGTTGAAGCCATAGCTTTTTTGTAAATGACCAACTATAATTTCCCCAAAGCGCAGCATATGTGTTAAACGTTGCTGCCTCCTCAGATGAGATGAATTAATTTCACTTTTATTCATTTTGCAGTACTATGAGAACTAACTCATGCTCTAGCACATCAAATGAATGGTGCTTTCAAGATAATAAGAAATAAAATATGTATTTCAAAAAACCCAGAAAGGTATTAGAGTCTAAGCCAGAGAGACTAAGCTCAGAAATGGCTGTAGGAATGAAAGAAACCTGACGCCTGGTTCTGATCTTAGCATCCTAAAGTGGTGGCCAGATGGAAGATCAAACTCTCTATAGAGCGTATGTTCAGGACAGTTAAGAACAAGAATTATGAATATAATTAATTCATCACTACAATGATTTTTAATGATTTATCACATGAATTAGCTTAATCACAGGTGATTTTAATTTATTATTTAATGGAAACAGCATTTGCAGAATTATGTTTTTTTGACATTAGAAGAATATGAATAAAGATTTGTGCACATTTGCAAAGGAAACACAGTGATAGTGTCTGTCACTATCTTCATATTCTTGTGTATAAATATAAGCATCCAGTCTGAATTTTTTTTGCTTTTCAATTAAGAGGTTTTACTCTTAATTTGAGGTTTTAATAAGAGGTTTTACTCTTAATTTGGATCTAGTATGCTGCCTGATTCTCAATACAGCCATGTTTTATAATAGTCAGAAGTCTGTTTAATGTTAAGGTTAACTTCAAGAGGAAGCCTGACACTACATCAGAAGTACCCGTTTTAAAACATTTGTATGCAGAGACCTGTAGCACTATCCACCCCAGGTGGACAGTGACCCAGAGTCCTGCTGAAATGTCTGGTTTTAACTGACAACATGGTATTTAAAATATCTGCTCATCTTTAAATAAACTGGCTGATAAGGTTTTTCCTGAACAGTAATTATTAGCAAGAGCTAATAGGTTTACCTAAAGGGTTAGCTAGTTAAAGTTTTGGCCTCACAGAAAACTTGATCCGGGCAAGATTTAAATGAATGACAGAAGTAATCTAGGTTTTGTTGAGCACATGAGCCCAAATCTAAAATGAGATCAATGATTTTTAAAGTGAAAGCAATTGAAAAGGACAAAGTGCTACATACATCTACATACAATACAGTATGGCTTTATTTATGCATTAGGCTAACCTTTGAATCTCCGAATCTCCCTCCTGGACTTGTTGCCCCAGTGGCCCTGATTGGACTGTGCAGATATAAAAATCTTAAAAAATAAAAAGTTAGCATCAAAAACAACAACAAAAAACTGTAAACGGGCAAAAAGCATTTTAAAGTCTGTCTCTTGTGTTTTCCTGTTTGTGTTATTTTGTTGGTTTGTTTACATATGTTGACTCGGTTGTAGGTGCCAGCAGCGTTACTGTTTGCGGTGGTTAGCTTCAATTAGAATTCTTGGTTCTTAATTGGCATGTCTGGTAAATAAAGCAAAAGGGGATGAAAAAGCATTGCTAATAGGACTTTGAACTGCTTCACTCTTGATACCATGTTAGCCAACTGACTTGATGTCTGAGTGTGTTTTTGTGTTGATAGTCACACTTGCACTTTGTAGTTATTAGCTGGATGAATAATTGCATGTATTTTGTTGAATGCAGCAGAGTAAAGCTAGGATTTCTTCGTCTTTTTTTTTCTTTAGATCTGTTGCTTTTTCATCTCATTTTCCCTCACATGTATTATATTGTGCAGTAATAATCCTGTTTGAGTATCGGTAACTATTAATGTGTACAACTGCATTTATTAACACATTTTAGATTTTCAATTCAAAATCAGCCATACATATTATAATCTGCTTGAATTGGGCTCCATATATCAGGTATACTCAACTAACTGCTTATGAATTAACACAGGAATGTGTTTTAAGACAAATGTATATTTGGGAAATTGTTTTGTATTGAGATTAAGATATAATTTTTAATTGCAAGAGTATCATGGTCATGTAATTTCTGTTTACAAAACAGATACAATTGTTTGCATGCTGTCACTTGAGTATCAGTAATGGACATCAGAAAATATCCTATTCATAAGAATAGATACTTGATACAAATTGGTTTTAATGAAATATCAAGAAATTATTAGATTACAAAAAAATACATTACACACAAGCCAGTATCATTGAGCAAATAGATTGGATACATTTTGTCCCAAACCGCAGTTTCTAAAACAATAACAGATAAACACACCGCTTTGCTGAGCTAAAATTTTTCTCTCCCTTTGGCCATTTTCCTTGAAAATGACGCTGTGATTGTTGCTAATGATTCAGTTTTGCCACAAATTCAGCTGAACACTCAGAGCATTTGTTGCAGTTTGACACTTGTGCAATTCAGTTCACATTGTGCAAAATGCTAAGTTAAGCGATGAAGTGCAGCAGTGAGGAGTTAGTGCATCAAAATCATTTCAAGTTGAATGGATAGCATCAAATCTATGCCAAAAGTTGAAAGGATTTAGCCATGATTAACATTGTGCAACAGATATAGTCCATACCATTAGCTGTGCACCACGTTATGAATATGTTGATTAATGAAATGAATAATTTCTCAGGACACCACTGGAAAAAAGGGACTAAGTAAAAATGACAGTTCCAAGGCGTTTGGCCTTTGTGGGTCAGTCTGTAATGATTGATGCCTGTAGTGCTGATTAACTCATTCTCACTTCAGTACAGCCAGATAAACATGTATTAAAATGTTCATAATTCACCGGCAGAACATTCTCCATGTGCCCAGCAGGTAGTTCAAGAAAATCCGTGGCGTGAGGGTTAGAATATGGTTTTATAGTTCAGCCTTTGACCTTGTTCAGTTTAAAAATGATTACTGCTTTCTTGTTCACTTCCAAATGTGGTGAATGTACTTTGTATTACACAAGTATTACTTCTGTCCCTGAATTGGTTGGTCACATTCATCATTACACACCCACACACACACACACACAAAGATTGCGTCTTTCCATTGACTTCCATTAATTTCTACAGCAGAAACCTTACCCTTGTCCGTATCCTAACCCTAACCATTACATGCCAAATCCTAACCCGAACCAAAACTCAATCCACACCATAGTCCTAAACCTGACCCCTGACCCCAAAATGGCATTCCCTTTGTGGTTGGAGTGGAGGTGGTCTCTCAGTTGAATATTTGGACCAGCTGGCAAATGTAGGAGTGCGTGTGTTTGTGTGTGTGACATGTGTGTATCTATATGTGTATTTTAGTGCGTGTGGAGCAACTGGGTGTAGGTCTTTCCAGACCCCTCGGGAGATCAGTGAGGGAAGAGGATGCTAGAACGCACACAGTCCTACACACACGCACGCACACATTGCTCTTTTTGAAGCGCTCAGAGATTGCAGCCAATGAAAGGCCTATTGATTGGGTCTGATGGGGGAACCAAGCCTTTGAATCCCATTAGAGACAACATACTACTGGTGGCCACTTGAGGGGAGGGGCATGAGAATGATGTCTTTATATTTGTGTGTATATGTGGATATATGTAAGTATATGTGTATATATGCATACACAGTATACTGGATAAGTCAAAATGTAGGTTGCTTGCAAAATTTTATGTTTAGTGGCTCATGTACAGTATGTGGGAAAAGTATAGTCCTTGAACTTGCTATCTTAATCATTAAGTGCAATATAGTTTTGTTGTGATGCCAATGACTAAAACAAGCAATGTGTAAATATGAAGAATGTTTTTTTCTTTTGCTCTGTCTCTTATTCTGTGAATATCTCCAAGTTTAAATGACATTTGAAAGCAAATAAAACATTAGAAACGGGTTCAGAGATGAAATGGTGAAGAATTTTAAAACTGGGATCAGGTTTAAGACTCTCATGGAGCTCTGGTCAATACGTCATCTGAAAATGAAGAAGATGGCACCTCTACACACATAGTTATCCACCTAAACTGTAAAGCTGCATATGGAGACAATTACTGGTAATTACAGAAGCAGCCAATATGCTGACAGTAGCTCTTAAGGACCTGTACACCGCAGGTGGCAGAATCTGTTGAAATAAAATAATTTACAAACTCCACAAATCTGGAATTCAAAGGAAA